TCCCCCCATTTTGGGAAAGTACCACGTGCCTGTTCACAAAATACAACGTGTAACAATTTGGGTGGTCTTCTGTTCCCCAGTTGCTCCTGGCCTTCTGGCCCCCCCTATCGCCATATGTCGGGGTTTCCAAAACTAGGAGGGCTCCTTTTTGGGGCCCCCATGAACAGGATAAGGATAATTTCTGGGGGCTTATATTAGGGGTCCCCACCTTAGCGGAAACTACACACTCTAGCCCCTAGTCAATTGGTCGCATCTGGCGCTTCGCTGGAAGCACGCTCCTGATCATACCGGCCGAATTCTATCAACAGGCGGTGCAAGACGTATCTCTCCGAGTTGACCAACATCCTCGCGGAGGTCTCCTGGGGTCACAGGAGACAATTCAGCTGCCATGTTGAGCTACTGATGCTGACATATGCTCCATGCAACCATGCCCGTCCTTGCTATCAGACGCCAGGGTGGTGATTTGCTTGACCATAACCGCCACAAGCAGATTGAAGATAGCGAAGGACAGCAGAACCACACCCAGAATCAAGAGCACAACCGCGGGAGGAGACAAGTCGAACCTTACCAAAACCCCTTTTTAAAAGGAATATATAGGGTTATNNTGGAAACTGCTATTTAGGGTTTATACAGAAACCCCCCGGGAAAAACCATGAGGATGACTTGGCAGGCTACTCAGTTGCTCCAATTTACTAGAAAAGGCGGAGTGGCACATCAAACAATATGTGTATAAGGAATGTGCGGGGAAACTCTTTGCAGCTTTACATGCTTCAATAGCCAGGGAACAGAGGGCGAGTTACCACTGCTGCCCAGCTATCTAACGTTGCAACTTGCAGCATAGTCATCATTGACTGTCCTATAGTTCCGAAGTAGAACTGCGACATGGGCCAGTAGGTCAGAACTATAGGATCTGTGGCCACCACCGAGGTCAGAGACACTGCAAAGACGTACAGCACGACTGCCGCAATGCAGGCAACAAAAGCCACAGCCTTGAACGAGTCCAGCAGGCCTTGGATCATGAACCAAAGACCCCCAAGGCCATTGACGCCCTTAACACTGCGGGCAACTCGTAGGCCACGAAAAACTCGAAATGCCTTGGCCAGCTGTACGCCTGCAACTGGGCGGAACAACGTCATCATCAAATCGCCGAACCCCATGAGCACGAGACTAAAATCAAATACGTTCCAGCCATCATGGAAGAACTCGTATCTTTGTTGGTGAAGTCGGACCAGCCATTCCATGATAAAGACCGTCGCGAAGAAAATCTCAAGGAGAACAAACCCAATTTTGCCACCAACTTCTGCGGTTGACCTCTGGTCGTCCACCTCTATCCCCAGAATGATGGTGTTTGTTATGAGCAGGATGACCTGAGGTTTGGTCAGCTTTAGAGCTCATCCCGAAAGGTAAGGAATCGGTAAGGAATAAGAAGAAACAGGGAAAGCTTAGCTTGAAAAACCCTAAACCCCAAAGAGCCCTAAACCATTCACCCTGAATCCTGAAACCTAAACCCNNCTAAACCCTAAACCCCAAACACTTACACTGACATCGTTGCGGAGGAGCTATCGCCAAGTTGAGCTTTGCGCTGGCAGCAATGTGCCCCTTCTTTCTCCGGAATTCGTCCGCAAAGACGCTGTTCATCTGCTCGAAAACGGATTTCCATCTGGCAGGCAGTGTATTTAGCCCACATGTGCTTGCCTACACATGCTATATCATGCTACTAACAGCTATCCTATCTATAGTCAGCCCATGCAACATTGCCACTAAATGCAACTTCGAAGAAGATGCCAG